GATCTCCGTCTCCCTGGGGTTGCTCTGCCTTCCTCCGATACCCCTTTAATATGGGACCTTCTTTAAATGCAGCGTAGTTGATTTTTCGCTGATGCCCCATTGTAGATCCAGATAGCGACAATATATCCACAGGAGGTGATCTGTCTCTGGCTTCTCGAGCTTCTCTGGCGTTCTGGGTCTCTGTAGCTTGTGCCAAGATCTGTACCACGATCTCTGATGCAGGGTTAGGTCCTACCAGGCTGAGTCTCCATCTCACATCCCTTTGGAACTCTGTTTCTTTTGCATTCGCCATTTGTTGTTCACCGGTTTCATCGCTCTCCAGTAGTTCGGCTATTAACATGGCTTTCGGTTTATTGCTTGCCACTATGCCTCGAGCTTCCAGCAGTTCTTTCAATGTTGTTTGTTTCAAGCATTTGAATCTATGCGCCATTCACCACTTGTTTCGATTCGGTACATCCGTTCGGGAGAAAAATCCCGCCGCTTGCCACCAGTGTAAAGGATCCTTCTATTCGTGCAGTGCTGATCCTTGTAGCTTCTCCAAAATCAAGCTGGAACAAAGTGATTTATAGCTTCCAATCCCCCAAACATGAGTCGAGACTTCATGAAGGGGTAAAACGATCTGATTTAATGGGAGCTACCTGCCCAGTATTTATGCAGGTCTCCCACCTGGTGGACCTTCCCCTAGGGGACCAGATGGAAGACTGGGACAAAAGAATTACAGTAGCTGTGACGAGACCAATCTCGCCACTGTGCATTGGAGGAGCCTGGTTGCCCGCCTGCTGCCTTTAAACTATGGCCCCATGTTGAAACGCTTGATTTTCCCCTGCAGAAACACGAAAGCCGGGTCATTCGGTGCTGGCCCTGTTTGAGCGGTGATACCCCAGATAGCTATGCCATGGAGCCCATTCGTATAATGAAAGACTATGGGAAAGACTTTGGCTCCATGGCAATTGAACTGTATGTGTGTGCTCTGAGCGCCATTCAGTAATAATGTGCGCTCAGATCTGAGCTATCTGGGGATATGTTGAATGTACCTGTTTTGTGCAATGGCTGCACAGTTATATGTTTTTATGTGTTTTATTGTCTTTTGCTGCCATGTGTTCAATGGAGTTTTGCCTCTGTCCTTGGAGATAATTGGATTACTTCCCAATTATCTCCAGGATAGAAGACTCTGTGGAACTGGTTTTGGGCAGAAAAGCCATGCTTCCTTTGGTCACAAAGGACTATGATCTATCTTTTGAACCACTGGACCAATTTGGATGATTTTGACATATGTTTGTATTTGGAGTATGCTGATTCTGAAAATGTATGTGAATGTGATGCATACTTTTCAAGTTATGAATAATGTGGAAAAATTGTATTTCTCTGCTTGTGATAATTACATTACCCATTGTGTAAGGTAATTGTATCACAGGCAGAGGGGAGGATTTTGTGTGGGAGTGTCTGAGTATATTGTGTGTGTTTATTGGTTGTGTTCCAAAACCCAGTGGGTGGTACTAAGGTGTATATAAGAACAATAAACCCACAGCTCTGTCTGTTCACTGCTTGACCCTCAACACGGAGCTTTGTCTCGTTCTTGGGGGGATTTATTGTATGCTGTTCCAGTTCGCCTGCTAGGAGTGTAAACCTTTCGTATGGTTTTTCCTATTCAGCTGTTTACAGCATTCATATGCTTTTCCTGTACGGCGGATTGGTGTTCTGCAGTAGCTGTGCCTGTGTCTCTGGAAGGGAAGATCTACTAAACGGTGGTTTAACACTTTTATGCCTGGGTGTGCCGTTACAGTAGCCAATCACAGTGGCTATAACATAAGCACTCCCCTTTTACATAGGTCACTCCCTCCTTTCCATCCTGGAGATAATTAACTTAAAGTAGTAAAGAGAGCCTTAATTATCTCCAGGTAGAAAGAAACATGGCTTTTCTCATATTCACAAAACAGCATAAAAATCTATAACTTATATTTTACTGAACATAAACTTTAAGTCCCACATACCCCCAGATAGCTTGGATCTGAGTGCATATTCTAGGCGAATAGCGCTCAGATCCCACGAACACAGTTCTCAATAACGTCAAATGAAGTTTGGACTTCACCGGCCGTTCGCGTGTTTGTATCCGACAAAGACTTCCACACTGTAGCTATCTGGGTTTGGTCTCTTTCGCAGAAATCCAAGTCCCGAATGGTACAATGTCTCCGGTATTCGTGTGTTTTCCACCGTACGAACGAGGACCTTGGTAAGTATCAGCGGTGTTCGGCAGAATAAGTATCCGAAAAAGAGTTCCAGGGCATCGCCGCCATTTACCGCTGGGTGTTTGACGATTTAAAATGGCGACTGCCACGTGTTCGGCAGACGAACGCGGACCACCAAGCAGTTCCCCAATTACTCTGTGGTTAACCGCAAAGTCTGGGTGGTTAATGGGCGCCACACGACCTCCGTAGGAGGTCAGGTGATTCGGCAGTTTATTCGTTTTATTGCTATTTGCACGAAATCACCCCACACCCGTCTAAATAACCGAACAGGCTGGTTCGCATAGTCTGTTTAACAAGGGATTTCGTTACAGGAGTATTGTCCAGCTCAGAGTTAACTCTACTTTTAAAGTATATTGCATTGTTTGTGTCAAAGTAAGATTCATCTAGTATGCCTCATTGATTATGTGGCAATAATAAAATGGTATTTTTAATAGAGACTAGACACTTTCTGAAATTTATAAGTGAGGTAATCCTAATCTACTAAACTACTGTATTATATTTGTATGGGTAAATTGAAAGCATTTTTCAGATCCAGAAGAAGATTAATAAATAATATAATAATCTCACCAGGAACCAAATTATGCAAAGAGGCTATCCAAAGTACGCACTAACGGGTTAAACTTGTTTTCTTGATAAGCATATAACATTTAGTTTTGTGGTTAGACTTTTGATACTCAATTTGAAATATGTCCCAACTACATCCTTGCACGGCCCCAGGTACAGGAAGCAATATGCGTTTTAAAAATTTGCAAAGTCTTCGTGTTTTCAATATATTATAACAATGGAAAAGTACCTAACCGCATGTCTAATGACACAGACTGTCAGTATTGCAAGCCCTATATGAAGGCTATGCTTTCATTGTCGATGTATATACCCCTAGATAACCTTGCTTTATATACACAATTTAACTATACATTAAACCTTTAAAAGCTTATTAATATTATATCTGTGTGGTACACAAAGAGGGGGTGTGAGTTCGGTAATCCCGACCTGCATATGGAATATGCTTCCTCCTTGTTCACTTTTGTTCCTTGTTGGTCTGTAACTGGCCCTTTTTGACCCCAAATTAATTTCTTGGGAAGATTCATGAGAAAGATACAGCAAGTTTTTTTGATAGAAAGAAAGAAGGAAAAGGTATGTTACATAGTTACATAGCTGAAAAGAGACTTGCGTCCATCAAGTTCAGCCTACCTCACATTTGTTTTTTGCTGTTGATCCAAAAGAAGGCAAAAAAAAACAGTTTGAAGCACAATTTTGCAACAAGCTAGAAAAAATTCCTTCTTGACCCCAGAATGGCAGTCAGATTTATCCTTGGATCAAGCAGTTATTACCCTACATTGAAAGATTATATCCTTGAATATTCTGTTCTTGCAAGTATGCATCTAGTAGCCGTTTGAACATCTGTATGGACTCTGATAAAACCACTTCTTCAGGCAGAGAATTCCACATCCTGATTGTTCTTACAGTAAAAAAACCTTTCCTTTGCCTTAGACGAAATCTTCTTTCTTCCAGTCTAAACGCATGGCCTTGTGTCCTATGTAAAGTCCGGTTTGTGAATAGATTTCCACACAATGGTTTGTATTGGCCCCGAATATATTTGTATAATGTTATCATATCCCCTCTCAGGCGACGTTTTTCTAAACTAAATAGGTTTAAATTTGTTAACCTTTCTTCATAGCTGATATGTTCCATTCCTTTTATTAGTTTTGTAGCCCGCCTCTGCACTTTTTCTAGTGCCATAATATCCTT